TCAGTGGTAGAGTGCTTGCCTAGCACAGGTAAAGTCCTGGGTTTGATCCTCAGCACCACATAAAAATAAATAAATGGAATAAAGATATTGTGAAAATAAAATTCTTTTAAAAAATGGAACCAGGGCACTTGAGACACATGCTCAGAACTGGCACACTGTTATTTCCATTGGATTTTATTGGCCAAGACAATTCACAGATCAGCACAGATTCATAGGTTGGGTATTATGGTTTGGATCTTAGATGTCTTCCCAAAAGGCTCATATGCTTTAGGCTTGGTCACCAGTGGAACTGTTAGGAGGTGGGAACTAATGGAGGAAGTTAGGTCTTTGTGGGGCATGCCCTTGAAGGAGCTATTAGAACCCTGGCCCTTTCCTCTCTCTTTCTCTTTGCTTCCTTTCTGCCATGAGAATAATTGCTTTCCTCCACCATGGTGTACTGCATTAGCACAGCCCCAAAGCAATTGAGGCCTAGTGCTCAGGGACTGAAACCTCTGAAACCATAAGCCAAAATAAACCTTCTTCCTTTCAAGTTGTTTATCTCAGGTGTTTTGTCACAACAAGGGAAAGCTAACACAGTGGGTAAATAAACCTCATCTCTTGATGGGAAGACCTGCAAGGTCACATTGGAGGTATTCATTTGCCATCAGTGCAATCAATTACAATAGCCTATTTCTAATGTCCTTATATTAATAATGTGTTAGTTGTTATGTATTTAACATAGGGGGCAGACATTTTCTTTGATTAGTCAATTCTTTTCATGTTTTGGACTTTGATAAATAAGACATCAACAGTATAGTGTTGATTTAGATTAAAATATGGACCATTGGAGTAAGTTCAAGGATCTTGGAGCTGATCAAAGAAAAGACATGACCACAAAGTAGTAGTAGCACACAATACACACTTTATTTGGGCAACACATGGGCTGGTTTGCACGAGAGAAGTCTCTTATAGCAGAGGCCTTCCAGAAAGAGTGATGTGGAGCCACTACCCAGAATGGGAAAGGTTAAGGGAACTCCATAGGAGAGGGGAACCAGAGAGGGGTCCTATGAGCATAGCTGATATCACTCAGCAGCAGGTTGGGTGTGGAGGTCTCTGGGTCAAAGAGCTCTGTAGGACTGTGGTGGCTTGAGGTCTTTTATAGCCCCTAGGGTTGTCTGATTGATGGCTAATATATGTTAGGTAAAGTGGAAGGCTCAAAATGTTTAAACTATCTGCTTATTTGGACCATGTTTTGAAAAACTGGATGTCTGAGAATTTTAAGTTAAAAGCTAGCAGGTTTTGGAAATTCTGGTTAGGACCAAATATGAAGAAGTAAGCAATATAGATGTCAATATACGGGATTTACCTTTGGCTTCCTATGAAATCATGCATATAATATTTGTATAACAAGCATGTAAAACACACCTTGCTATTTCTAACATCTCTTCTTTTATATAACAAAGAAGATAATCTTTGGTATGTTCCTGGAACCAGCTGGGACACCCAAAAGAAAGGTTAAAAAGATATTGTAGCAGTTTTATTTTCAATTTGGGACTTGATTTGGGGGAAAATATGTTGGAAAGAACTGTCAGAGGGAACAAAATATGAGTGGAGTCGTAGGTATCTTCAGGGTAAAACAAAGTCACAGAGGTGCAAGTAACATTAAATATGAAAACACCATGTTTTGTGAGAAACCAATCACAAAAATGGAGAAGAAAAACTTCACAAGCATTGATAAAAGGAATATTTTTATTAATATTAGGAGCTTTTTGTTATCTAGTCAAAATATGTTGAAAACACAGAATAACTTTTCCTGTGTCCAATTAAGAGCAGACTATGTCTTAAAAAATCAGTTTGTCTACAGTCACATATATTTAAGAAGAAAGATATTTAAAAAATCACTTTGTCAGTATAATAGTAAGGATTTAAAATTCTAATTTTGTTTTTTTCTTGGTATCCTACCTGTATCATATAATTAAGTGTTCACAATGGTTTCTCTGTTTTATGCTTAAGATAGTAAAATTCACATTTGTCAACATTTAATATATTTCACAGCTTCTTTTCCAACCCATTATTTGTAAATACAACTCACTTTTTTCAGCAAGCCTGCTCTAAGTTCTATACAGCCTCAAACTTGTCTTTTGTTTAACTTCCAACCATCTAGACATGTGCTATTGATCAAAGTCTGTATGTTTAGGGCCTAAGATAAACATTCTTTCAAGTGTTAAAAAGTAGACAAGACACATCTATGATTTTGTAAACATATTTGCATTTCTTCATAATTCTTTTGCATAACAGAGTTCCAATCACTCATATCAACTACAATTTTAACCAAAATGACTAATTTCATTCTCTGTATCCCCTTTTGTTTTTCTCATAAACACACACACTCCTGAGCAGATGATTAAGAACTTGGTGCCAACTGTGGCAGCTCAGGAGACAGCAGAGCCCAAGTGACCTGGAGCTGATGCTTCAATGTTATACATTATGTCCCACCCCGGCATCACACCAAGCTCTTCAAGAGTTATTGACCTCTTCTTGTGAGAACATGAAACTTCCCCTCATTTTTTTCCTGTCCTGGTTCCTTTTAATATTTCCACAAAAAACCCTTATTTCTTCTGAGAGAAAGGAGAAAAATTGTCACCTCAGATTCTCTTAGATTTCATAGTTAGGTCTTCCAGTATTGGACAAGCCAGAAGCAATCATTTCCATTATATGTGCATTCCTACTTTACCTCACACATTGAGCCCTATTTAGAAAAACTATTATATTAACCAAGCAAAGCTCTCCTTAGTCCAACCAGAGAAATGAAAAGTTGTGCTCTATTTGTGAAAAGTAATCTGCCATCATGTATAACTAATTAGAACAAATTTAAAAATCAGTCTTAAATAAACATCAAACTTTGCTTCCTTTTGGTCTTAGTCCTGTTGTTTAAAAAAGAAGGAAAAAAACCCAGATAAAACACATCCATCACTTTTTGTCACTTTCTATTGTGATACTCAAATACCACAGGTGGGATATATGTCTTTGTAAATAAAATACATTTATTTCACACAGTTCTGGGTGCTGGGAAGTCTATCGTGTGGTGCTATCATCTGGTAGGGGCCTATTAATTGCATCAAAATATGGCAGAGGACATCATATGGCAAGACAGAGCAAGCATGATGCATTGCATTTCTCTTCTGTTATTATAAAGCTACTCATGCTATAGAGGGTGTGGGTATAGGGATTCCACACTCATGCCTTTACCTAATCCTAACCACTTCCCATAGATCTCACCTGCAAATACCATCAACATATCATCTCAGGATTAAATTTTTAGCACACAAAATTTCTGGAGGACATACTCAAACTGTAGCATTTTTCTTCACTTATTCTGGTAGCCTTTTTTTCTATTTTATTGAGGCAGCTGTCCTTCCTTCCAATGTATGAGATGATATATTTTTGATTTATGCATCTCCAAAAGTTTTCTCAAGACAGCATGAGGCAAAGAACCAACCACGGAGACAAAAGAACTACAAATACGAAAACACTTTCACAGGGCTAACTTCCTTTTGCAAAAAGGGGAAAGACCTAATTTCATTTACACACAGAGACACAAAGATAACTAGCAGCCTCACTTCTACCTCTTTACCAAACATGATTTGTGTCTCAGCAAATCTCACTGGTTGGCTGTGACTGCTTAGGATAAGGAAGTTCAGGAAATCAAAAAGAATCTCCAGTGAATACTGCTTTTGAACATTTATTGATCTGGAGATGATTTACATTCTACTTTTCTACAAAATTATTGCTGAATGATATTAAAACTGGTGTTCAAGAATGGTACTATACTGTTATTCAGATGACATAATACAGAGCATATCAGAAGATACCACAAGCTTCAAGACAAACTACAGTAAAGATAAAGGAAAATAGACAACTAAGATTCTCTGCTCTCTACTACCTAGCAAAGATTTGTGATATCTAGGTTAAACGATCAAAATCAGACTCCCAACATGTTTGTTACAAGGAAAGAAAAATAATAGCTGTATAAAAAACAAAGCAAAATAAGACTTGTTCAAGAACCCGATTAATGCAGAAATCAAAATAAACTAGGAGGGAAAATAATGCAAAACTGAGTTGACTTGAGTTAAAGATTTACTCTGGGATTTAGTAGAATTGGGCCTGTAATTTGGAGGTGTATGTTTGGAGGTATACTTCTGGGTTAACACCCAGCTCTAGTGGGCAAATTGACCTATGGATCTCTGTGGAACTCTAGCTATCAGAGACATACAGAACCAGGATGCATCTTTACATGCTAAGAATTACGAAGGAATGAGATTTTGGATTTAGGAAGACTGACCACCATATGAAAAATAGGTATACAAAGGGAAAAAAATTAAAAGCAAAGTTACAAGGTTACAGTTAGTTTGTTCATGGTAGACAGTCCTCAGTTTTCTCACATTTATCTTGACTCCAAGGGTTGTCCAAATCAGTACTGTGGGGCTCATGGTTTCTAGTATGATTCTTCCCTGTGCTAATCCCACAACCCATGACCCTCCTGCCACTACCACCACCACATGATAGTCCTTTTCAGTGGAGAACGTTTGGATCAAACTACTTTTCAGATAATATTTGGATAGCAGAGTATTAATACCAAGTAACTAATAATTTTAAAGTAGTTTTTAGTTTAAAATAAAGATCCATAGGTCAATTTGCAGGGATGGGGAAATTATGTGGACTAAATCTACCCTATCAAGGTATTCTCTTTTGCATAGTCGTGAATAAACTTTGACAGATTCACTTTTTTTTGGATTTCTTTTCTTCAAAAGGTTAACTTTATCCATGGGATATTAATTCTAGGATATTCAACCTTCTTTGAGAACTTTATTGATATATGCAAGTGATATCATGTATTGAAATTTATGTGCAAATTTTAATCCATTTCCTATTTCAATGCATTTGTCATTGATAGAATTTAAGACTGTAGAAGGGTTTATTTTTCTTGTTATTTCTAAAAAAGTTTCATATTTTATTTTTAGGGTAAAAGTTGTTGTTAAAAAAAGTGATAAATTGGAAAATAAAGTTAAAAGAATTGGACCACACATAGAAATCTTCCAGGTATTCCAAGTAAAAAGCAAACTCTTCATTACCAAAAACATCATTGACATGGTCACCCTCATGCAGGCTCATGTCAGGGGGTGGCTTGAACGCAAGAGATTTCAAAGACTAATGTCCAAGGTAAGACATGCATGAGATTTTATACTGTGTTCTAAAATCCTTAGTCATCTGGTCAATAGGTCTATAATTTTTCTAAGTAGAGTTCTGTCTACATATTTTTGATTAGGAAAATGTTATGAATAATCTGCTCTGGTGACAGCTTCAGATTGTGCCAAATCAGATACTCTTGAACAAAAGGCCCCACTTATCCTTAACAGTTCTGAGACCACTTACTCTTAAAACAGTATAAACTGTCTTTGCACTAATATTGTTTCTTCTTTGCTATTTATTTTCTCTTCAGAGGAACTTTCACTTCCCACACTTCTGGGTATTTTTTTGCAGTACACAAATATTACATTTAAAAAGAACTATGCCCTCCCTCCCAGTATCTATGTGGACAACTTTTATAGACAGCTCTCCTGGCTTTGACTCCTAAAATAAACTATGAGGAATTCTTTTGGCTGGGTAAATGCAAAAGAACCTGGCTGCATGCATCTTGGCAAACCTTTGAGAGATGTAAAATGTCCTTGCCTGGAAGGCTAAAGCTTGGTGACAAACTATAAAGAGAAAATGAGATAAGAGGTGAATTTTAATTCCTTTCTCTCTGGGAGGAGTCTTCTAGAATGGACTTTCAGGTGGCCCCCCCTGAACATATTTGTCCTGAGAGTGATGTAGCCACCGGGTACCCCTACCAAAAAGACCCCTGCCATAATAATAACACATAAACTTCTCTCCTAGTCAACAAGATCATTACAAAGAATGTCAGCAGGGTTTCTGCAGGGAGCTCATTGTGGTTTAAAGCCTCCTCTTTCTTGTAAAAGCCAGGTTTACTATGAGATGGTGTCATAGACTCTGCCTCAAGAAAACTTGCTGAGCAAAGGTTACTATTTTTGTTTTTCTTGGTAACAACTTGTGAAACCTCTGTCTAGCCTAAGAATATGGGACATAAGAGTAACTGTTATGTACTGTACCCACTGTCATGTAGCTACCCCACTGAGTATAAATCTAAAAGAATTTCAAGATTTGGGGTTCAGATATTTTTAGGCATTAGTTGGTCTGAATAGCTGTAGCTTAAATAAACCTGCTTTCTGAAAATTCCTTGGGTGTCCAGCCTCATCTGTCTTATATCAATAGCACAGTGACACTGTTAGAAGTAGTTCATCTGCTTATCTCTGGGTATAAATTTACTCATGTATTAGTTTGTACACATAATAGACATATGTAGTTCTGGTGATTGAACATGTTAATGCAGATAGGTGCTGTATTTGTTATATAAGTGAAATAATGGAAGCTTAGAGAAGTTAAGTCATTTGCTCAAAGTCAAGCAGCTGGTAAATTACAGAGCTAGGATTCAAACCTATGTCTGTCTGACTCCAAAAGCTGTGCTTATTTTGCATTTGGAATCACCTGTTTCAACTCCAGTAGCCATGGCCAGTTGCTGTCTAAACCAATTTAAAGCCATATCTTGAACCTTTCTCTTGGGCTCTAGACCCAGGTATTAAATTGCCTGCCTGAAAGATCCATATTAAGTCACATTCCACACACTTCAAAGAACTCATTTTCTTCCTCCACACAGCACTTCCTCTCCTCTGCTACCTGTGTTCATATCTTCTCTCATCCCTTGTCCAAGCCATAAACCTGGAATTCTCTTCAATCCCTTCAACTTCTGTATTCCTATATCCAATTGGTTATGATTTTCATAACGTTATTTTTTTCCAGCAGTGCTAGGAAGCGCACCCAGAACCTCACTTGTCCAGGGCCTCATTCTTGCTAGGCAAGCATTTGACCACTTAGCTTCCTCCCCAGCCCAGCCACATTTCTTATTCTCTCTTATTTTGTGTGTTTCTTGCCAAAGCTTCCATCATGTAAACTTACATGGTGAAGAGCAGTAGTCTCAGTGACCCCTTGCCATGTATGTTTTCCCATCTCATCTTCTGCTACACACTGCATTTAAAACACTCCCTTCTTATGCCCTTATCTTTTGATAGCCCTGTACTGATTATAGTAGAGTGAACTTTCTAACATAATATGTAGGATCTGCTTGTTATGGCTCGTGCCTCTGTCCAACTTCAATACATGGCTCTTATTCACATAGTCCCAGTGTTCTAGCAAACTTCTAAATATTAGTATGGGTAATAATCTCTGGGTTTTATGCTGTTACCTTGGTCTGGAATACTCTTCCACCCATATCTTCATATGAACTCCTGATTTATTTTTCAAGATCATTGTAAGTATATGCAGTTAGACATTCTCCCTGATCCATCAAGCAGAGCTGATCTCTCCATTCTTCTTGGTCATTATAATGCACAGTTCTCTTCAGTGTAATGGTCTCATACGTGTCTGTCATGGGCAGTATATTTTACATGAATTTTGGGGAGCACATACCCTTTATTTTTGTATTCCTATCAATCACCGTACACTGTCTTGATGTGTTATATACAGTGTCTCACTTTAACTATGTGCACTTATTACCTGCCATTTTTCTTATTTCACTTCTTGTTTTTGTATGTTTATGTTCTGTTTTGGTGAAATACATTGTAAACTCTATGAGGACAACAATCTGTCTTGTTTGCTACTGTTTCCTACTATTTTCAAATGTATAGTATCATGATTAATGTATGGGAAGCACTCAACAAATATCTATGGAGTGGGTGAATTGATTGGACAGATTATAGTTGTAGAAGTTTATCATGGCATTCTAACAAGATATATCTTTAAGGTTCTTTCAGCATAGTTTTGATGTATGCAGCATAATTTATAGCATTTCCTAGTATCAGGCAGAACTATGGTCATTCCTAATTTCTGGGGCAACAATAGCTCTAGAAAACTTAGTGAGCAAGAATGGGCCCAGGATGAGATTAAAAAGAGAAAGTGACAAAGAATATAATGAATTTCTATGTTGAGATAGAATTGGAAATGAAAAGAATGGTAAGTACTTTTAGAGGAACAAATCCAATATGAACTAGATTATTGACTTTTATTTGGTTATAAAATTTGTTTGTGATCACTGATTTTTTTTTTTTAAATTCCATCACTGGCATGGTACTTTATATAAAATTGGATGACTGCTTTGTTGATATGGTTAAAGTTGTTTTGTCTACTGTCAAATTGCTAGTGGGACAGTCCTGTGATTCAATCAGTGGTGTTTCCAGGACTGTGCCTACGTGAAGGGATGCTATCGGGGGAATTCTTAAGAGGCTTTCTGCTCTAGAGGCTGCACAGAAAATCACTGGATAATTGTTAGCACGGTGGCAATCTTTCCACTGGGAGACTTCCATCATCTTATTACGTGGCTGCTACTACAAACATTTTTGCTTTGGACAGTGTCTGCTATAATGTCACTTTAAGGATCACTCTAGAGACTATATGATTTCCAGTATTTCTTGTGAGATGCTCTCAGTTTGGGTTCATTTGGAAATAATGAAGCAGTATTGAATTACCTTACCAATCATACACAAGAAGAGTATGGAGAGAGCTCTATTTAACACTCAGCATAACTCAAATTGTCCTTTTCTTTTCAAAATCTCTGTTTTGTTTGCATGTGTTTGAGTGTGTTAATGATGTTTAAAAAATCATAAAAACACAAAACAAAATAATTTCCTCAAAGTAATAACTCTAAGAGTTCACTATTTTACTCTGAATATTTATAATTAAAATTTTTGAATTTTAATCCCATGTGTTACATCCAGTTGCTGTTGGCCAAAGATACTGAAATTCCAGCACATTTGAATGGATGATGGTTGCAGTAAGAAATAATTTTTGAAATTGGCTTGGAATACCATTTGTTAAATAAATAAAATTGGAACAACAATGGAAAATCTGAGCTTTATGGTTACTATACCAATATCCTATGCATAGGTCAATGTCTTTAATATTTTGGAGGTTATAGAATCTTTTGAAATTTTGATGAAGTATGGATTGCATCTCATTATCCACCCCCCCCCCCCAAACAATAACCCTAGATGTAATAACAAAATACTTAAATCTATTCAGGAACTCTGTGGAATAGGTAGCATTATATAATTTTACTACATAAATATATTGGCTTCTAGCTACCTAGAAAATTATGTTCATTTATTCAGTAATGTATATTTTATGATAAAAAGTTTGATGGAAATTTTATTAAAAATTTGATGATAATTACTGTATATTGGGCCTAAGCCCAGTATCTGTTATGCAGATAACACAAAGAAGGCTTAGGTTCTGTGGGGCACTTAGCAAAGCCATGTAACCCAAAGGGCTGTGTCTAGTACTGCTGTCACTTCACTAAATCCTATGAGGTCTGATGCAGACACTGAACCCAAGTTATCCCTGTCTCCAGAAATGCTGCCCTTAGAAAATGGATATTGCAGCCACAATTCATTTGCCACACAAATATGTTTCCCAATGTTTTCCTTGTGAAAGCTTTATTACTTTTGATTCAAGGTCCAGGGTTGGTGCAGATAGTGAATGACATTTTGTCCCATGTTTATATCAAAGCAACAGTAAAGGGATGGGTCATGAGCATCTGCCTTTGGCTTCAAAATTGTATGAAATGGGTTCTGCTTCCCGTTAGGATTCATATGGTGGGAAATGCCCCAAAATACAACCAATTTATCATCATCATTATTATTTTAAAAGGACAAGACTCTTTGAACAAAAGGTAGATTAAACATAAACATTGGAAAATGTCACTTAAATGTTGAAAAACACTAGCAAATGTTCAGAATCTACAATCTGATGGAAGAAGAGGCAGATAGTGAAATTATGCTAAATAATGTTTGTAGTTAGGCAAACAAGAAATATTATTTTGTCAATAATGATGTAGTAAGAAGTGTAGGTTTGAATATAGTATTTAAAATTTTCAGAGAAGAATCAGAAAATCTATCAAAGGTGAAGAAAAATAAAATGATAACTACAACCTTCAACGAATAATAGTAAAAAGAAAATAGCACGGTAGAATCAAATGTATAAAGAAATGAACTAAAAAAAGAAACAAAAAAATCACAAAATAGGCAAAAAACACAAAGTTCAATTAAATTAACAGGAATATAGGATATAGATGAAAATGTAGGTTCTTGAGTATTTCTATTCTGGTTTTGAAACTAATATTGCAACTAACTAGGTATGAGGCCTTGAAAACTTATTTAAAGTTTTTCCACTTCAATCTTTTCTTTTATAAGATGGTATACAAAGCACATCAAAGGAAATCTACCAAGGAAAGTTTAGAAATTTTAGTACATTCTAGAACAATGAAATAATGAAAAAATAAAAGAATTAAATCTGTAATTCAAGAAGTCAAGAATAGGAAACTAAAAAGGAAGGAATTAATAGAGAAATTAATGATCTATAAAATGTAAAAAAAATGAATTTTAAATAAAATGGAACTGGCTGTTTAGAAAAGAAAGAAACTTGAAATGAATTTTTAAAGCTTAATTTAAAAAAAAAACTTATAGTAAAATGTGTAAAATGCATATATGGAAGAGTGATATAGTCACAGGTAACTTAATTAAAAAATTAACACATATGTAGGAAAGGTATACTTTCTTTAATATTCAAAGTTTTAAGAAATCAGAGAAAACCTGTAAGAGCCCAGCCAAGACTAAGTAAAGGACATGAATGAATAGTTTTCAAAGAAAAGAAATAGAATTGAGCACCCAGAGTTGACAGCTCAGGAAATAATTATCCATTATAGAATAATTCCTTAATAAAAGTTTTTATATACCTTTATTTTATTTATTCATTTTTATGTGGTGCTGAGAATCAAACCCAGTGCCCCACACATGCCAAGCAAATGCTCTACCACTGAGCCACAGACATAGCCCCTTAATAAAACTTTATTTATCTTTCTAGTTGAATGTGATACATATTATAGAAATATGGACAGCAAAATAGGAAGCATCTATGAAAGTAGATGTCATTGAAACCTCTGTTCTGTAGGAAGTAGGACTATCTGAGGGCAAGAACTCAGGGAGGAGCTCTGATCTTCAGGGAGATCATCTCAGTCCAGAGTGCATCTATTCAACCAGCACAGGAATCAACAATCAATACAGCCAAAGTCTAAGAAATTGGGTGAAATAAATTAGACAAAAAGGGTAGATCAAATTAAGTATAAATAACCATACTATTTGTATTATTTATAGGCTTTGTGTCATGGACCAAATTTGAAAGAAGTTATTAACATGTATCGGGGATTAATCCACCGTGTAAGGTGTCGACTTGGTCTCCGGAGGACAAGACAAATTATAAACTTTTCAGAGCTAGAGGAATGGATGGACAGAAAAAAATGTAAGTGACACAGTCATTTCTTGTTGGATTTTAGGTTTGGAATTGTTTAACCATTGAAATTTTATGTATAATTACCTTTAGTAACCAAAGGTAAGCCGTATTTTATATTCCTGAAAGCTATTTGCATTTTAAGGTGGTATATTTATATAATTGGATTAATTCATTATGATCCTCTGTTGATAAGGAACAAAAAGCTCATTCTGGCTAAGCAAAAAAAAAAAAAAAAAAAAAAAAATCCAAGGATATTGAAAGGGAGATTATCAGAAAGAGAACTGAAGAATTAGATCAGATGGAATATGAATCAGAGGTGCTATAGAGAGATGGAAGGAACAGGAAAGAAAAATTTTTACTTGTCCCTGGGAGACATATCAGCTTATATCATTTAAAGAATTCCTTTGCGGGGGGGGGGGGGGCAGGTACCAAGGATTGAACTCAGGGGCACTCGACCACTGTACCACATCCCCAACCCTATTTTGTATTTTATTTAGAGACAGAGTCTCTCTGAGCTGCTCAGCACCTTGCTGTTGCTGAGGCTGGCTTTGAACTCACAATCCTCCTGACTCAGCCTTCCAAACCTCTGGGATTACAGGCATGTGCCATAGCACCTAGCTCATTTAAAGAATTTTTGTTGTTGTTGTTGTTCCAAGGCTTTAAATTCAAATCCAGGGAGACCTCAAAAGATTGGTTTGGCCTGAGTCATATTTCTGACTCTTTGCAGTGGGAGGGTCAACCTTGCTTGAGAGTTGCCCAGAGGCTCTGTCCACTGAAGGAGGGATTGCTGTGTAAATGAAAATTAAATATTGATAGCAGAGGAATAGTCAGTGGATACTGAGTGGACAAAACCACACATTGCTTGTTAGTGTTGGCAATCTATCCCTGGCTCTGCAATGTGTAGCTCAGCTTTCAGAGATCATGATTTCTATTTATAATAAATGAATCAAGTATTGCTGAGGACTAGGATTGATTATTAGATCTGAATAGATTATTAGTTTCTCGAATAACAAAAAATCAATTATGAAAATAAATTATATTTAATTTATATCATTTTATGGATTTATAAGACAAAAAGTATTATATGTTTGGCCATCTCAGCTAGTTATAAAATGTTTATTTCACATTAAGTACTGTAAATTTCATGAAGACAGGGACTACAAATTTTTCAATAAATGCCACTATTTAACGAATTCCTGGTTTATCAGAAGGGCTCAAGAAACTTGGTAAAGGATCGTTTTCATTAAGTTTATTAGTCATGATAAAATTATTTGCCAAAAGATATTTATAAATTGTCAGAACTCTTTGGATTAGAACAATTCCTTTCCTGTGGCTAGAAGTTGAGGAAGGAAGAAGTTAGAGACAGATGTTCCAGCCATAAGCACTCAGAGTTGAAGACCTTCACTCCTAAACTCTCCACCCACTAGTATAAAACTCAGTAAGAGATTCTTATCTTTTATGTATAGTAGCTTTATATTCTATCATCTAATATTTATATACTGATTTTATAATATTTATCAAAATACACACTAGGACTTGACAGTGGTACACTGACCTCTCTTTACCCCTCCACTTTAGTTTTCCTGCTGACCTCCAAATCATATACCATTCCCATAAGGGTCCTGCTATTTTATGCCATTTTAGCTTGGTACCAAAACCTCTGTCACAAATTCATTTTTAACCTTATAGAACCTTGCTTATTTTTCTTCGTTTTACCTTCTTTCTGTGGCTTCTCCTCCTTGATTTGTAAGTGGAGATTTCAATATTTTTTTCATCTTAAAATAACCTCTTAGTTTGGAAGGGATAAACAAAAAACTAATGTAGTGTCTGTTTTCTATCCTGGACCCTGATCAGACTTCTAGTGGAGAACTCTTTGAGTAAAAAGTCCTTAAAAAGTAAGAGGTGGTCCAAGTGGACAGATGGAGGAGGAACCATGTTCTAGGCAGAGGAACTGCAAGTACAAAAACTTTCAGTTGCAGGCTTGCTGGTTTGGGAGGAAGTCAGGAGACTGCTTTTATGTGGAATTGAGTTTGTGAGTGTGAGCAGATCTATATGGGATTGGAGAAGTAGTGGGGAGCTCAGGTCATATCACACTTCATAGGCCCTTGTAGTTTACCCTAAGAGAGCTGGGAATCCATTGGAAGATTTTGGACAAATAACTATGGTGCAGCTTATGTTGAACACACCACTCTTGTACTTGTGTTGAGAATAGGCTCACAAGACACAAAGAATAAAGGAGCTCAGTTAAAACAGATGGTTCTCTGCCCAACACAGGATCTGAACAGTAAAATAGGGTTAGTTAGCTAGCTGAATAATTTAAAGAATTACCAACAGATGTATCCATTTACATGGAATGTTAAAGTAACTGTAGCATCCACAGAATTTACGAGTTCTTTTTGTCTTCCTGTTCCTAGAAAAATTTCTCTGACCTTTCTCTGTGTATTGACTGGTAATTGGGTGATGATATTTGACAAATCTCCCTGTACATTTTTAAGCATCTTTTAGTCCTTTGAAAGTTTCATTAACTTCCATGATTTAAGTTTTATATTAAACCATGGTTCTACTAGTCTGGCATATTAATTCTGCTAGTGTTTTGCTGAAGGTTTGCTTGTAGGGCATCCTTTGCAAGCTAGGGACACTGTGATCTCTTTATTTAGTCACAAAGCCATAATGTTAATATGTGCATCACTCTGATCTTATGAGAAACATCTAAAACTGATTAGTTCAAGGAAACATAACCTAAAGATACATATACTTTTTTAAAGGAGAAATATGTTTACATAAGCAAAAAATAAAAATGAAAAGTAACATTCTTTGTGTCTTACATGTAGTTTGGGTTTCTCCAGATTAAGATCCCAAAACTGAGGATTTCAAGTGCAAATATATCGGGAGTTGATCCCAGAAGATGCGTTAGTGGAATGGAGAAGTGAGACAGGAAAGGGACAGAATTCAAAACAGAATGCATTATTAAGGGAACTCAAGAAAACAGTAGAGCCAACTTGCTTCAAGTTTTTGTCCACAGTTTCTTCCCTGCTCCCTAGTCAGGAATTGAGGGCCAGTCCAGTGGGGTTCTTAACTCCCTGGTATGTCTTGCTTCCTGCACAGGTGGGCAGAATAAAGTCCTGGACAATGAAATGCAGATGCTGGCACTTCCAAGTTAAGTCAAAATGCACAGGAAAGTAATAGAGAAGAAGATATTCATGTGGCATCAAAAGCAACTGCTTTACTTTATTTGCCAAAAGAGAGAGATGCATAGATGTAAAAAGTATAAATTTGTTTATTTTGCTGCTGGGTTTTAAGATTTTTCCAAATCTACTACTCATATCTACTACTCATATTTCTCCAAATCTAGCTACTCATATCAGGGAATTACTTAATATTTCTAAATACTAACTATTTCTTGAATTTGTTGATATCTCATCACTATCTTCCTCAATGAATGAACCAGTGAATGAATGAATGACTATAAAATTGAAATCCATATGGTTGAGTGCCAGGATGATATAGTCCTGTTAGAAACTACTCTGATGCCTCTTCTCATTGGGAGACCTTACTTCAAAGCTAGATCTGCTTCAGGCAGTCCCTGTCTTACTGTCAATAGGGACAACATTCTGCTTTATGGGGTTAATCAAACATATTTTAGAGTGGAGACTCAATATCACCTTTTAAAAATATTTTTTATTGGTACTTATAATTATACATAACTGTAGGATTCATTATGCCCTAGTCGTACATGCACATCACATAATTTGATCAGACTCATTCCCCAGTACCTTCCCTTTCCCTCCTCTCCTCCTTCCCTCATCCTCTTGCTGTACTGATCTCCCTTCTATTATTATTTAAATTAGTACATTATAATTATATGTAATTATATAATATATGGGATTCATTCATAGCATACTTTGGTTTATTTTTTTCCCCAGTATTTCCTTATGCCTTCCCCTCCCTCTTCCCTCTTAATCCCTTTTCTGTACTCTTATTATTCTCCACTCTATTTGAATAAAATTTATTTTTTTAAAATCCCATCCCCACCCCTGTCTCTCTGTCTCTGCCCTCCACATATGAGAGAAAACATTTGACCATTGACTTTCTGAGTCTGGTTCATTTCGCTTAGCATGGTGTTCTCCAGTTTCATCCAGCAAACGCCATAATTTCATTCTTCTTTATGGTTGAATAGAATTCCGTTATGTATATAGACGACCTTTTCTTTATTCAGCCATCTTTTGAAGGGTACCTAGGCTGATTCCATAAATTGGCTATTGTCAAAATCATCAAAATCACATTTTTGAAAGGAAAAAAATGTTTATGGAGAACTTTACTTACAAAATGTATGCATCAGTTCTCTTGGTCATTATCTAACTCCTGTCTAATGTCAAGTACAGGAGATCGGTGACAGGTGGCCCAACTGAGTGGTTTTTGATGGTAGCCTGTGCAGATGGGCAAAGTACCATAAAGTAGGAAGTAGGAACTTAGGAAGTCAGTGAGAAAAAGTAGACATTGCTCCCAATTAGGGGCTAAATCAGAAATAGAATAAGCAGTACAAACTGGAATCAGCAATTTATGCAGTTAGGATGTGAGTGGGGAGACAGAGAGAGATGAACAATTAAAGGACTTTTAATAAATAATGAATACTGAAATGGATCAACAGGTGTCAGGCTTCCAAGAAATTTTGACAATGCTGGCATGGATGTGAAAAAAAGGAACTCTAGTTCACTGTTTATGGGAATGTAAATTAGTACAGCAATTATGGAGAACAGTATGGAGCTTGCTCACAAAACTAAAATTAGATCTACAATGTGATCCAGCTATTCCACTTCGGTGTGTAAATCCAAAGGGAATAAAATCAGCATATAAAAGAGATACTTACACACCTATGTTCATAATGCCACTATTCATAAGAGCTAAGATGTAAAATCAGCCTAGATGCCCATCAACCCCTGAATGAGCAAAGAATATGCAATATATATATATATATATATATATATATATATATGTGTGTGTGTGTGTGTGTGTGTGTGTGTATGTGTATACACATGCACACATTGTGTGTATATGTATATATGTTTATGGATATGATATGCACACACACATAATGTGTATATATACATGTAGTGTTATTCAGCCATAAAGAAGGATGAAATCCTGTCATTTACAGAAAAATGGGTGGAACTGAAGGACATTATGTTTAATGAAATGACAGATACTGAAGGTCAAGTACTAATGGCCTCTTCCTATGTGGAACTTAAAAAACGTCAACCTGAATATAGAATAATGATTACTGGAAGTTGGGAAAGGGAGTTGGAGGGTGGATAAACGGAGGTGGGATTTGATTAGCATGTGCTTGTATTAGGATATCACACTGAATCCCAGTAATATGTACAATGAATACATCTTCTTTGAAAATAAAACTTTTATATAGCTATGTTTTATGATGTAGTTCAAGCATTGATAGAGGTAGGGTCATGAAACCAGAATCTAGGAACCCCTGTTTTATTTGGGGAGTCCAGTCTGAGTTTCACGACCATGCAGTGCCAGCTAGGGGTGCACTGCCTCTGTCCCTTTGCCATCAGGCTCTTTTTTTATTAGTTGCTCAAGACAATACAATGATCTTGACACATCATACATTTGATTCAAATGGGATATGAATTCTCATTTTTCCACGTGTACAGATTGCAGGATCACATGGTTATGCAGCCACGTATATACATACTGCCATACTAGCTAGTGTCTGTTGTATTTTGCTGTCCTTCCTATCCCCCCTCCCCTCCCCTCCCCTCCCATCACTTCTCTCTACCCAATCTACTGTGACACATTTCTCTCTCTCTCTTTTTTCCTTCCCCCTCACACCATCATATATATATTTTGTATAACGATGAGGGTCTCCTTCCATCTTCCATGCAATTCCCCTTCTCCCTCCCATTCCCTCCCACCTCTCTTCCCTGTTTAGTGGTAATCTTCTTCTCATTCTTTTCCTCCCTACTCTGTTTTGAGTCACCTCCTTATATCAGAGAAGACATTCGGCATTTGTTTTTTAGGGATTGGCTAACTTCACTTAGCATAATCTGCTCTAATGCCATCCATTCCCCTGCAAATGCCATGATCTTGTTATTTTTTTAGTGCTGACTAATATTTCATTGTGTATAAATGCCACATTTTTTTTTATCCATTCATCTGGCGGGTGTCCCCATCCTCCCTCACCGCTCCATGTGTGTCCTTCCCAAAGCTGCGCGCTTGCGCTTGGTGTAAGAGGACGACCTTCCCTGATAGAGGAGGACCGTTCTTCGGTCAAGGGTATGTGGGTAGCTGCGCTCCCCTGCTAGAACCTCCAAACAAGCTCTCAAGGCCATCAGGCTTCTTGAATCCTGGAAGCATGTCAGCAGATAGGAAAATAAAGCTGGGGTCAAAGTCATTTCAAATCCAGATGAACCTTTGAGGCGGCTTGCACTTGGTATCATTTATAAAGAACTCACTTTCTTTTACCTTTTTGGACTTTCAGACTATGAAACAAAGTTTGCCAAGAGAGAAGATTGGCAGGGATTAGAAAGAAGTGATCTCCTTAAATACTTTAGAGACTGTGGCCATTACCCAACCCAGAAGCAGGTTGATGAGTATTGGGACTTGTTCAACAAAGGTAAGGAGCACCTGATGTCTTTTCTGCTCTTCCCTTCTTATCTTTTCACTTTCTTCTTTCCTTCTCCCTACTTTTCTCCCTTTTTTCTTCCTTAGTTGATTCATCCCTACCTTTCTTCTCTTACTTTCACTAAATTTGTTTTAAAAGTCATTTTCCTCAAATCTCTTTGTATCTGAGTTTAGTACATATGAAGGAAGGCAGATTAAACAATGTTAAGAAGTTTATTTTTAACTTTTATATCTCATGAATTTTGATATGACAAATTCCACATAGCTGAATATACTTTAAATGATAAAATTTTAAATACTGATACTAATAATTGTTCTCCTGGATAGTTACATTTGGTTCTGTTAAATACAGTCAAGTTTAAATATATCAATATCATAAACTATTTCAATACAATAGAATTTTACCATTAGAAAATGATTTCTTTTCTGAACAGTAAATAAATGAGAGGATAATATTGTCTGACTATATTTAACAATGTATATGGAGTAGCATTTCACTCTTTTCTGGATCCTTAGTAGATTGGTGGGAATTGTCACTGGGGTATAGGAAATACCAATGAATTTTCCTTAAGATTCTTTTCAGTTTTTCTTTCATTTATTTCTCAGATTTGTTGAAATGTAATCGACAAGTAAAAATATTCAAGTTGCTTGCTATAATCATTTACCACAATTACCACAATCAAGTTAATCAAGCCACCTAGCATCATCTATAGTTGCTCTTTGTGTGTGTGTGTGTGTGTAAGTGTGTGTGTAGGTGAGGGGGTGAGGCCACTTAAGATCTTCTCTGAGCAGATTTTAAGTAAACAATACAATGTTATCAACTATTTTTCTTCCTCCTTTCTCTTATTTGTATTATGGATCACGGTGCTGTATATTAGATGTCATTAGTATCCACTCCATAAAAGAAAGTTTGTATGTTTTAGCCAACATCACCTCATTTCACCCAAAACTCTTCCCTTAGCAACCACCATTCTACTTTCTGCTTTCATGAGTTCAACTGTTTTTTAGAGTCCACCAATAAAGGAGTTCATACATTTTTTGCCTTTCTCTGTCTGGCTTATTTTACTTAGCACAGTGTCTAGTTGGTACATTGTCACAAGGACATGATTTCCTTCTTTTACAAGACTGAATCATATTCCATGTGTACATGTAGATTTTCTTCATCCATTTGTTCCTTAGTAGACATTTACTTTGGTTGCATTCCTTGATTATTGTAAGTAATGTTGCAGTGAACATATGTGTACAGATATCTCTTAGACATACTAATTTTATTTTCTTCAGATATTTACCCAGGAATGGGTTTTTGGGTCTTGTGGTTTTTAATTAAGAATTTCCATATTGTTGTCCATAATGGCTGTACCAATGCACAATCCTATCAACAGTGTTTTTGTGTTCCCTTGTCTCCTAATCTTCACCAACATTTCTTTCTTGTCTTTTTGATAATAGTCATCATAATGTATGTGAGTTGCTATCTTATTGTGGTTTTGATTTGTATTTTGCTGATGGCCATTTGGGGGAAAAAAGTCTATTCAGGTTCTTTACCCATTTTTAGTTGAATTCTTTGTGGTTCCCTTGCTATTAAGTTATGTGAGTTTGTATATTTTGGATGATATTAATGCTTTATCACACATAATGGCATGCAAATATTTTCTCCTATTCTGTAAGTTGCTTTTTCATTTTGTTGGTTGTTTCTTTGGCTCTGAGAAGGTTTTTAGTTTGATGTAGTTCCACATTTTTGTTTATTTGGTGGATTTTGTTTCTTTGATTTGTTTGCTTTTGGGATCATATCTCAAAAATCTTAGCTAAGAACAGTGTGAAGGAGTTTCCACCCTGTGCTTTCTTCGAGGAATTTTATGGTTTTCAATCTTAGATTTGAGTATAATTCCTTTTGAGTTAATTTTATATGTATGAGATAAGGGTCCAATATCCTATCGCACAAGGATATCTGTTTTTCTCTAAGCCATTTATCGAAGATGCTCTCCTTTCTCCATTGTAGAGCACCATTGTCAAAGATTAGTTGTCTATGTGTGGGCTTATTTCTGGGCTCTCTATTTTGTTCTATTGGCCTCTTCATTTTCCTGCCTGTGCCATAGTGTTTTTTTTTTTTTTTTTGGTAATATCATTTGAAATCAGGAAGTATGATGCCTCCAATTATTCTTTTTCAAAATTGATTTGGCTATTTGGGATTTTTTTTTGGTTTGTTTTTATACAATTTTTAGGTTTGCTTTTTCTAAAATGCTTTTGGAATCTTGGTAGGGATTGCATCAAATCTATAGGTCATTTTGGGCAGCACAGTTACTGTAATGTTCTTCCAATCCATGAAGATAGGCTACCTTTCCATTTATTTGTAACTTTCGTTTCTTTCATCAGTGTCTTTTAGTTTTTAATATGGAGATCTCTCATCTTCTTCTTTAAATTTATTCCTAAGGATTTTATTTATTTTGATGCCATTGTCAAAGAATTTTAAAGTTTTCTTTTCAAATGATTTGTTAGTGTAGGAAAATGCAAATTACTTTTGTATATTAGTTTTTTTTCTTTACTAATGCTGTGGCTTTCTGATGTGTTTAGAGATAATATGTCCACAATTTAATCAAGAATCAAAGGTAAACAAACTAAAACATTTCAGGACCGATTTTTGATATAGGGAAAGACTCACTCCTGAAAGTGTGAGTAAATATTGAAGCTTCATTGTATTTTGGAGCTCCTCCCCTTCATTCTTAGTGCAGATTTACCCAGTTCTTCATCTACAACATTGTTTTGCTGTTGTCCTAGTACAATGAACATTTTTCAAGACTTTGATAAATATTCATTCACTTTTTGACAGAGACATCCAAATCACTTTGCATTTCTGTGGTTATGACTAGGTTGTTTCAAATTATTTTTCCTAATGACCAAAATAGTGAATATAAAAAAATGTGGGAAATACTGTAATATATAAAATTTCTAAGAAATCAAATTTGGTAACAGCGGATTTCTATCTTTCCATTTTTTTCCTGTGCACATTACGTTAATTTTTATGAAAATTGATATTTTTACATATTGCTGGAGTATCTGATTTTTTGCTTTTTAATAAGTTTCCAATCCATAAATATATTTTATCACATTATTTATGACTAGTAATCTGTCATGATTATATCTGTCCTATCATACATTTGCTGTTTTACATTTATGTTGTTTTATTTTCCTTATAATAATAAAATTTTTAAAATTAAGCAAAGCAAAATATTAAGTGTTTCAGAACTTTACAAATTAGTGTTAGCAATTTAATTATAAGGCTTTTTTCAAGTTAGTAGTTTCATAGGGATATTGTCCTCTTCCAATTACTTTGGGCTACATGATAATGGGTTAGATTTAGAGCATAGCTCTAGAATTAACTTGTTTAGGTTTTTTTCCTCACTTTACCTCTTAACAGCTATGTGTCTGGACAAGCTGTTTATTGCACCTATGCTTGTTTTTCTCAATTATAAAAAAATGATAATACCTACATCATTGGACTATTGTGAGGCTTAAATGAAATTATTCATGTAAAATATGTGAGCCATGATAAGTGCTCAGTAAATGTTTGCTAATATTATTCATTAATAATTCCTGTACATCCATATTCTTATAATTGTTTTCAATTATTTTTATTTTGAAACTGTCTAAATATTGAATCCATTGGATGCTGACTCATTTTTATAGAGATTTTTGTATTAAATGTCATCCATTGGCTTCTACATGTATGTTTGGTTTTGATTATCATAATGAACTTCTTGCTAAAGCAGGTGGTATTCTCATTTATGCTCATTTTGAAGATAAGAGAACTGAGACTTAGAGGCTTTCTAAACTCATTGTTAAACTGAAACTTTAACCCTTCAATCACAGGTCAATACTCTTTTCATTTTATCATGTAGAGACATTTTTAAAGATCATTATTATGAAAACATAATTGGATGATTAAGACATCTCAGCAGCAGAGAGTGACTTTTATTTATTTTTCTCCTATTTGCTTAATGCTTTGCAGTATAGTAGGTTTTCTGCAAATGAATGAGTCTATTAAGATTCATATTAAAGTTAGAATTTTCAAAATTGCTTTTATACAAATACCTAAGACTAGGATGCTTTCTCTTTGAGGAAGGGTCCATTACAACATTGTAATTATATGTCCCATTCTATTGTTCTGTTCAGTAAAACTAGTTCTTTTGGTGCAGAGGAAGCTTTTTCTTCTTTCACTTAAAATGGAGGCACTATTCTAAAGTAGTGGAAAGAAAATAATATTTATGGAAAAAGGAACAAAACTGTTGGATTTCTGTTTGCTACTAATATATATTCCATTTTAAAAGAATCTGATTTTATGTATTTTAGATTGTCAGTCATCTTCATTCATACTGACTTCTTTGATTGGAGATAATAGCTCCAGATGTGCAACCTACACATTTTCTCATCCAGTAGAATATTTCACCTAATGCAGATGTAGTTAATTCAATTGATTAACTTCTTCAGTGTACAGCACCAAGTAGGTCACATTCCTAAAACTGTCTGTATGTCTTCAGGTATTTTTAGCTTTTTTTTTTTTATTATTCTTTCTTTATTCTTATCACTATGGTAACAAAAGAATTTGTGACTGAGGACATGAATTTCATCTGAAAATCTTCCTTTGGGAGAATGAAGCATCTTCAAGCTGTGTGTAGTCTGATCTTAAGAGCTGCAGACCACACAAACATGAGAACTTTTTCCTGATATTCACTTAAATCCAAAATAAATGAAACCATTGACAATAGAAAATAGCACTACTGAAAGTAAGGGGAAAAATGCATTGTGCTTGTAGATCATCATCGAATCACACATTTGTCTATTCTGCAGAAATTTGAACTATCAAGATTCTCCCAACATGTAAATTAAACTTTTAGTTCACTTTCTACAATTAGAATGATCAGAAACTTAATGGGATGCTAAGTCCATTTTTCGTGTGGAGCTCCAGTCAAAAATAAAAAAGAAAAATTTTAAATCCAA